GAACACAATAGGATCAAGGCCAAATATTCTTCAACATACTCTACTTCCAAAGTTTCTAAACCAGCGACGATCTCTTTAAATACAGTCAGGTGATCTTCCAATGATCTTCCTTCTGCCATTCGATGAGAGTATATACGCTGCTTAAGGTTCAACTTGTTTGTCAAACTTTTAATCATACACAATTGCTCAAACTTCAACTATAGAGCAGCTGTTGAAACCTCCTTCAAAATGTCCTGGAGAATGGTATACGATAGATGAAGATGAATCTGAGAAAATGTCTTCTCATCCTTCCGTAATTTCTCCTCCGCGGTCAAAGTTGCGGGCATCTTGTCAATTCTCAACAACGCATCATCCAAATCCTATGGTACAAGTATTGCATGCATCTTGACCTGCCATAATGAAAATCTAGTGCTCCGATCCAAAAGCGAAATTTCATATTTCATGGAAGACGTCACGAACAAAAAAACCTCAAACAAATCAAACCCCATGCTCTTGAGGAATTGCTGAACCTAGGCTCTGATACCACTTGTTGTGAAACAAACAAAATATCTCTTGATAGAAGAAATATTAATATTCTCGGATCATTGTTAGTAATGTTGAAAATACAATAATTATGTATTGTTTGAATACGAGTCGATAAAATCAACCACCAGAATGAATTGTTAAAGTTATATGACAAATAATGAAGTATTAGATCAAGTAAAAGAATAATAAAGATAAGAAATATGGTAGAGGAATTAAAAGATTTTATTAACTTAAGAATAATGGAGAAGAGAGAAAATTACAATGTGCCCTATAATTCTAATAATTTATTTTCTCACACTATAAAATTGTATAAAAGAGCCTAATATTCATAGAAAACATGTAGGAGATGTCCAAACCCTCCTAGTAGAGTTGTTGATGAAGTAGGATACCAAAAAATGAAGTCCAAAACAAATTTCAATTCACATGGGTTTCCAAAATAGAACTTTAACTTGACATAAGACTCCAATAGCATTTCAAACTGAATTCTTCATGATGTGGACTTCAATTAAAATCTTTAATTACTTTAACAAGGAATTCATGTCACACCCAAATTCTATCACGAGGTTTAATGATTTTCCTATAAATGTCACATATGTGCACATTTGTGAACTTCATTTATGAACTTTGTCTTTGCGAGTTTTATTTTCGGTGGTGGAACCTATTGTTTAGGGCTGTAAGCAAAAACCACCAAACCGGAAAATCGAATCGAAACCGCAATTTCGAAACCGGCGGTTTGGTGCCACGTGGACCCGTCAACGAAATGGTTTTGAACCAAACCAAACCGGTCAAAAACGGTTTGGTTTATGTTTGAGAATTTTAATTATGGTTTGAAACCAAATCGGACCGGCGAAAAATATATAAAATAAAAAATTGATTTTTTTTGAAAATTTATCCAAAATCTCAATTTTGTAAAATTGAATAATTTTGTCATTTTGTAGGTATTTTTATTCATTTCTAATTTCCTATTAATTATTAAGATTTACGACCCGCCCAAGCCTAATTATATATATATATACAAAAATGCCCAAATTTGAAAGAAGTAGCACTAAACAGCTCAACCCAAGTCCATATACCCACAAGTCACAACCCTAATATTCCAATTTCCATCTCTCACACGCAACTCGCTGGTCGCAGCCTCGCTCCCCGCGGTGCCTCCTGGTTTCCCCCAAATCGTCAACACCCTCGAAATCTCGAACCTCCCAGTTGCCGGTAGTGTACGTTCGCCGGTATTATTAGACTATTTCA